TAATTTGAACAGTTGGACGCAAAACTTTTCGATGACTGAACATGCATGCTTTACACACCATCCCACTCCTTTTCCCAAAATAATGTGGTTCACCTTTACTGTGAACTTTGACACAAAATTAAGCAACCTTTTCCATGATGTCTCTTTATTGCTTGAGACATTCACCATACTGGAACTTGACACACCTGCTAATTTAGAGCTGCCAGTTTTTCCTGTTCATGCGATGATCATCTTGATCCCTCATTAGCTCTCTTTCAGGTGACACCTTCTGCAACAGTCCACTATCTGGGCAAGTGCTAAGTTAATCTTCTCTTTACCTTGGCCAGCAGTAATGAGACAGAGCACTGTGTGCTAATCAATAGCAGGCTAAGCATTTTTTTTCGATATATATAAGGCCGCCTGGTCTCGTTATGTGCCATGCACTGACTGCAACCACTTACATAGATCCTTTGAGCTGGACGGAAAAAGGGGATAGCAAGAGAGGAAGAGCTGAAAACTATTTCGCCTTGGAGGAGCGCCGATTGGAAGAACTGAAAATACTGTCGAACAAAGAGGGAGAATCATTAAAAAGCGACGTGTTGGCTTATTCTCAACCATCCTTATCATCCTTGTGCTGTCATGCAGTGATGCATCACTCTGCAAGGGGCTTCCATGTTCTTTATTCCCACTCTCTTCCATGTGTCTTATTTCTGACCAATTAAGCACCCCCTGGAATAAGGAAGTAGAGATTTGGCATTGTGCATGAAGAGAAACGCTGATGAAAGGTCATCTTGGTAGCTTTGGGACATTGTCTGATTTGTGTTTAATGTCTAAAGCTCATAAGCAGCTCTCCTCTATTCCCATTTCACTGTCCTTTTGCTCCCGTCTTTTATAATTCATCATCAAGGGATGGGACTGTTGATCAGAATTGAGAATATTTCATTCATTTCATGTTTGTCGTCCATCATATCCTATTTGATTGCCTTTGTTCTTGAAAGACTTAAAAAATGCTAAAATGTCATCAAGGGTTGTGAAGTATGGTAACGATTTATGGTACAGCTGTGACCCCCTTGCTCACAGATATATATTATCCCATTATTTAGTCAGCTCACAATCCTCACATTTTGCTTTTATAGCTTCTATCTTTTCCTGCCGACAGTCTGACGCTCCATGTCCCCAGTCAAAGCAGCCAGAAAACACGTCACTCCCAGAGTTCTGAATAACCCAATGGCGCAAACCCAATGGCACACTCCAACAACGCTCTAAGCAGAGCATCCTTTGAGCGCATTTCCACACAAACCCTTAAGATTGATACATTTTGCACATCGTGGATACCAAATTGATATTCATAACAATACTGTATAAATAAAGCGATATCATGGAATTGATATTCCCATTCCTAACAGTAATTATAAAAACACAGTGAGTGGTTTCCTATATTTAGACTGTAGCTACTATATATATATACATATATAAAAAACGCACGGGTTTTCTCCGGGTACTCCGGTTTCCTCCCACTCTCCAGAAACATGCATGGCAGGTTGACTGAACACCCAAAATTGTCCCTAGGTGTGAGTGTGAGCACGGATGGCTGTTCGTCTCTGTGTGCCCTGCGATTGGCTGGCAACCGGTTCAGGGTGTCCCCCAGCTATTGCCCGAAGGCAGCTGGGATAGGCTTCAGCACGCCCCACGACCCTTGTGAGGATTATACAATGTATGCAATACATATAAAAAAGTACAATGATATTTTCTCATTTTTGATTTCTTCTATTAGAAATAATACATTGACTTTCAAGCAAATGTTGTCATGCAGAAAACCATTAACAAAATACACCTGCATCACTGGGGGGCTGTGTGACTTGTCGATACAACCAGGAACAAGATAGCTTATAGCAATATAATTCACACATGTGAATTGTAAACAAAATGAGGGGAAGTGAAGTGTATGAAATGAAATATGTCGCCTGCTGACCTGCAGCTCTTTGAATCTGTGATAGAATTCAGCATGCCTGTCTGTGAGGTCATAGGTCTAGCACAAGCTCTCAACTAAGTTCTGGCTCCACTGTGTTTGCTCATTTATAGCAGATGCAACCAGGATGGCCCGGTCAGAGTGCCACTGCATTACTACAGACAAGGAGGAGAAGCTAATCACGACACCAGAATGGGCGATGTTGCTATTTCTCATGCTGCCCATGTCACTCAGGCTGACACCATAAATCTCACTTATTTTCAGATCCAGCAGAGACACGGCAGAAATTACGGCCCAGAACACATTACCAGCAACCGCATTGTGCTGAATGCTAAAAAAGAGATCCTTGATGAAGCAGACAGGCACTTCACACAAAGACATCTGTCCAATACTGTGAGGTGAATTTGCCAGGAAGAGCAGCACAAACAAGGAAGCTACGTGAAAAGTATTTTCACTACACCTAGTAGTAGAGCAGCGTCCAGTGGTGAAGTGTGACACACAGAGAATCATCATTTCCATGCAATAAGGGGACTGAGATTGGCTCACACAAAACTCAATGTAGCAGAACGCAGTGGATTAGGACAGTGATGTGTTTTGCGACGCAATAGAAATGTAAACCATAATCTATTATTGTGAAACGTACCTTAACTGTGCAACTGTGAACTATAGTCTCGCAGTAAAATGGTCATTATGGTGCGTCTACCGTCACAGGCGTCAGTCTTATTGCATATTCAGTCAGAAATCACTGACTGAGAAACCCTGCCAATCGCATCATTAGTCCCCATTTTTGCAGTTAATTGTGCTGCCCATGTCTTAGCGTGTGGCCCATTGATGCATCACTGTGAGATCCCACTGAGGCTTATTAAGTGCCCTTCTCTCAGCTTGCTCTCAGCCTGCTGGGTCATCTTCAGACTCAGTAATCTAACATTAGCCTCGGCTTTCACTACTTCTCAACCATTTACCGAATCATTTATATTAAACTCGCCTCTGGAAATCCTTGCAGACACAGAATTAATTTAGACAACCCCTCCGTTTAAAGGAAAATTGACCCTCGGGAGCGTGGAAGGAATGGTATACAGTACCTCCGTCCATGTCCTATTCAGACTTTCATGCAGTTTTTGTGCAATGACAATCTCTGCGTGTTGGCTGTTATATCTGTTGCCTCAGTTAATGATAATCTCTGGCTCTGAGAGGCTAGTCCGTGGTCGCTACTGTGTGAATTTAAGAGCATCCTGAAAACATTACTCCATAAGAGACTTTTTCCTGGTTGTCTTTTGGCAGCATTCTTCAATGTCAGACATTACTGTGCTTCTGAGAATGATATAGCAAGCCACCTAATTGAAGAGTAATTTCTCAGAGACTGAATAGGTGTTCAGCGGGTGACTGCAGAGAGCAAATGTTACCACAAACATATCTTAATGGGCCCTCATTATCTTCTGTGACAACCCCAGTGTGTGAATATGGGCATGTGTGATTAAAGGTTAAGACGTGTTCAGAGAGATGAAGCCGTACTGATAGCGTTGACAAAACTTGAGCTGTCATTTGTGCACTAAAGAACCCCCAATTAAAACTGATAGGCTCAACATTCTCTCCTTATTTGCGTCTTCTGCTTTGGAGTATTTGTTTGTCAAATTCAAAATTCTCTGTGTTGCCAGTTGTGATTTTGAGATTTGCAGCACTTAACAACAAGTCCAGCTTTGCGACAGCAAGCTAGACGCAGGGACAAGACAAAGACACTGTGATGCCCCTGGGTCTTATAGAAGATGGATGCTTCAGGGTATTAGTCTGCCTGGAAGCAGAATGATTACTCAGAAAGCCTGGGAGAAAAGAGGCTACAGTACATGGCAGTAGTGGCACGCACTTTGAATTCTCAAACTGGCACAGATGCCTCCTTGAAGTTCTTTACCAGGCAATTATGTATAACCATGCCGATGTACTCTCGAAGAATATCATAGTCATTACTGCAAGTTAGCATATAAATGCTGGAATCCCATTTTATTGCAAAATGAGTATTGCAGTTTACTGCATTTTTTTTCTTTCCCCAAACCCCTTGAAGGGAAAAAAAAATCCTTTTTCCACAGTCAACTAAAAATAAGTCCTGCTTGACGATCTGGAAAAATGCTGCTCTCTTGATACATTATTTTTCTCAAGGTAAACACGAATACATTTCAAATTGGTAAGGTATTCGAGGGTCTGTGACATCTCACAATTCAAACATTGTTCAAGAAAGCTGTTTGAGCTTCAATTTGTTCAGGTTTTAAAGTCAAATAGCACATTATCACAATCATCATTTAAGTGTAAAAATAAATTATACAATTAACTGTCGTCAAATTTGTGTTACATTTCCCACTTTTTTTCTTTGTTACCATGTTCCTCTTTGGTATATTACTTTCAACCATCAACCTGTCTTAGTATCATTAATAACTATTGTCTTAAATCAGACATGTCCAGCTCCAGGCCTGGTGGGCCACTGTCCTGCCTGTTTTCCAGCTCTCCTGCCTGCAACACACCTGATTCAGATGATCAGCTCATCAGCCAGCTCTGAAGCAGCATTCGAACGATCCTGATGATTTGAATCAGGTGTGTCACTCCTGGGAGAGCTGGAAAACAGGCAGGACAGCGGCCCTTGAGGACCGACTTTGGACACCACTGTCTTAAATGATGACCATGGTATGCATAAACTACTCATGTGCCTTAGCATAACGTCTCAGATCAAAACAATCCAGTTGTAACCCCAAACATCACCAGAAGATTGATTGAAGGGTGGCATGGCTCAGCGGTAGAGTGGTCGATCCCTGGCCATGGACCATGTTGAATTGTCCTTGAGCAATATACTGAACCCGCACAGTTGCTCCTGATGCTGTGTCATCAGTAGGTCAATGAAGTAACAGTGGAAAGCCCATTTACCATTAGTGGTTGGTTAATTAACAAGCAACAGCATTCAGCATTCAGCCTGTTCTTAATGATTCTCACTTCCTCATACTGTTTAATTCCAGATTCGACAAATGTGTTCCTCTTACTGTGCTGATTATGATTTGGTTTCCTTCCATAGAATACTGAGATTTTAAACACAGCAGTCCTGACCGGAAAGACTGTTGCTGTTCCTGTGAAGGTGGTAACCATCGGAATAGACGCTTCCGTTACTGATGTCTCTGAAGCAGTGGAGTGTCGCACCACAGATGAAGACGTGGTCAAGGTTAGTGATATTATACTCATTACTTTCAAAATAAAATATTAGTTTTCTTCCTGAATCAAAGATTCATGAGACTTACAACACCTTAGTGCTGATATGTACATTTTGTTTGGAAGATTGTTGTGTCCTATGGAGCACAATGGCGATCCTCCTTTACTCGAGCTATTTTGTCGTTTGAGTTTATACTTATGCTGTCCTATATGTTTGATGTTTTTTTTTCTTCCATCAAATGCCAATTATACAAAAAGACTCACGTTACTTGTTTTTTTATTTCCTCCAATCAAATACAAGTAACCAGACAGAGTTGCCAATGACTGTATTTATAAGGACTTGATTTGGAGTCAGAGGTTCAAATATTGCTGCAAAACATATAGTGGAATCTCCAATGTCAAACAATACTTTGTGAGTTGCAACGGTATTGGTAAATGATGTAGTCTATAAGGTGTTATTATTAGAGATAACTATATCCTGCCCTGTGATATCCGTTTGACCTCTGTAATTGAATGTATAGACGTTTTGATATTTTGGTAAGTGGAAACGTAAGGCAACCTCTCTTACGAAATATACAGTCCAAAAATATGCTCACTTACCCATATCGTTGATGACCCACACAAACCCACACGGCATGCATCGGCCGGAACAATGCAAGGTCTTCTAGATACTAGCCTGCTTCCCGAGCACTGTTGTGATACCTCTGAAGACCCTGCTCCAGTGTTTCGAGAACTAAATACATTTTATATGAACAAGTGAAAGTAAACAAAAGCACACTGGAGTCTAACACAACTTACATTCACGAACTTGTCACTGTCAAATTCAGCTCAGAAAGCGTCAAAAACAAATGTGTTCATTGTCTGACAATTACCAATGATGATGCCTTAAAGCAGAGAAATAAACATGATTTGACATCAATAAATATGTCGCAGATGCATTGATTTCTATGTTTAGCGAGGCTGTATAAATTCTTCTGAAAGTCTAAACAAACACCTGGAAACTACATGAAAGAGTGTTTGATATTCCTTCACAGCTGACAGCTTGTTCCAGTTGTCTCATATTTTTAGAGGGCCTCTCAAACCTGGGTCACAAGATTTCGACAACACGACGCATCCCTTATAACTGAGGAAAGTTGAGCCTCCAATCAGCAACTTTGTTTCTGTAGATTCCCACAAACTCCTGAATAATCTATGCGAAACAGTGCCGGGTCTGTGTTTCCGGTGAGAGAAGTGGTTAAGAGGTTGCACAGTAGCATCTTGATGTGCCACCCTGCTGTGCAAAAAGCTTCTTCCACTTTAGTTCTTGTGTTTGCAACTGTCGGTCTTCGAATGGACGGCCTGATGAGGCAGATCAGGTTCAAGTAATGCTCTTTAAAAAGCTATGATTGCACAAAGTCAAAAAGAAGGATATTTTGTCACTTGGATCCACTTCATCATGCGATATGGGAATTTGGATTGTGAAGGGGAGTTCCGCCGGGAAATTAAATTGTCGGCAAAGTTGTTGAAAAGGAAAAAGTTGCAGCTCCGCCTGTGGGATCTTGGGTCAGAGCATTCAGCCTGCACGCTCATTGCTCTCAGTGAATGGAAACACACAGTGACATTAAACCTGAATAATGAATCACTGTGCACATAAAATGATGCGCTCACTTGTGGCCTTATGATTATAGTGAATTTGAAAAAGGAAAGGTCACCCGGGGTCACATTTTCTTTCCTTTTAACCTCTGTAGAGTTTTGTCTTGCTTTGCCTTAAATCTTGTCTGACGTGAAGACTATAATAATGCTCCGGCCTCATTATTTTGCACGAACACTCCTCTGTCCAAATTTATAGTTTTGGCAGCTCAAGGACCGACTGTATAAACTGCTGCATCCGGCCTGTCGCTCGCATAAGCAGCCTTAGATCTAAAGGACAAGTGTGATGATACTCTGTCGAGTGGCTCAAAACTCTCATGTTTTTCTTCATACCTTTTCATTGTTTGTTGTCATTCGTGTGGTGCAAGCAAAAAAAATCAGTAATCTGCGGATTGAGCTGCACAGGTCAGCATACAGTGTCAGTTTGCCATGTCATGTAGGTTTTTAGCGCTTATATTTTCTAAAAATGAACTCTCAAGTGATCCCCACAGCTCAAAGGAAGAACCTTTCACCTGAGTGATCAGAATTTTGAGTTCACTGTTTCCACTTTCCGACCACTCCATTTGCCACTTGTTTAAGAAGACTCACTTTTGTTGAAACAGACACACTTGTGTTTGAGAGGAGCAATACTTCTCATCGACAATATTTCAAGTTTCTATTGTGTGCAGCGTACTTCCTTTACAAATGTCTTCTCTGTCATGCTATTTTTTCTACTTGCTGTTATCACTATTGCTGCAATGCAAAAATTCTTCAGATTTCTCCTTGTCTTCCCTTCGTCTTTGTCATAATGCTACTTAACAGAAGTGTAGCTTTTTTGCTGCCATGGAGTCGATGCTTAGTGACGTATGCTATGTAGACACTGGATGTCGGGTTGCCACCTTTCAAATCTGGAAATAAGGGACACTCCTCACGGTGTCGCGGCAAAACCACACAGGTGAAAGAAATTTGAGGGTTTGGCTCCCCAAAATCCTGAAATGCATAGAATCACACCAAGGAAAAAAATAACTGATTTGATTTAATTGACATTATTTAACATGTCAAATTAGCCTCTGGGGCCACTTGGTGGTTAGCAGGGAAGGAAAAGTCAAAAAAACATTTACACGTACTACACTACAATTGAAAGTGCTGCATTAGCATTGAACATTATTTTTTTTTTCATGGATTGAAATAGCTTGAACCTGAGCTTAGCCTATAGGCTATTAAAAAGTGCTGTAAATTAAACAAAGATGTGTACTTTAACATTTTAACAATTATGAAATACTTAATAGCCTGAACTTGAGCATATAGAACTGGCGTCCTGTATTGTATACATATGAAGCACTGTAAATTAAACCAAGCCTGTTTGGGGACTTTCACGTTTTGCAAAGTGGTGGGTGGAGGAGTAGGGTGGGCTGAGCAAAATGTATTTCACAAAAATTCAAACAGGAGTACACTGGAAAATACTAACTGAAACAAAGTCCTGAAAAACCACAGGAAACCAAAGTAATAAAAAAACTATGCCACAAACAAAAACATGATAGGAGCACGCAGACACACCCATTGATCCAACAAAGACTGACTGAAACCAGGGAATAATACAAGCAAAGTGACGAGACAATGAGAAACACCTGGACAAGACTCTAAGGGTTGAGGGAGCTGATTGGTTCAACACAAGGGACGGCGGACAACAACATTGAACGGGACAGCTCAAAGTTGAGAGCGATCAGGAGCTCATTCCTCGTCGATATTTTTGTTGCCGTTTCCTCGATTGAGGACGTGGTGGAGTCTCAGGAGTATCTGCTGTCGTCAACACTTTCAAACGCATGCCGCAGCTTTGTGTTTCATGTGTGGCACAGAGGATTTGGCACAGAGCGGAGGAGAACACACCAGATGCAGGCTACGCTCCCGGGTCTGCAGGAGATCCTACGTATATCTCACCAATAGCACATTGCTCTTTTAATTTGTTCATTATTGTTAAATTCAGTGTTCACGTTTATGTGTGACAGACACACGGGACAATTTGGAAAATATGGAACAAACCTTGTGCCGTACTGACGCAACATTTAATTCCCAATTAATGGACGATTCTGTATTTTACGGGACAGGTGACTGTGTGCCTTAACTGGATGCAAAGTGAGCATACGCAAAGTGAGCGTATGTTCAGCAGGCAGTTCGTAAGTTGCAGAGGGTTCTCAAAATAGTGCGCAACAAGAAATTCAACAGCGGAAAGCAGTGAGGTCGACGCCACCGTACAATTTTGTCATTTTTGCCAGACTTGATTTTCAGCAAAAATTGTCGTGTCAGGGTTTGTAATTTTGAAAATCTGGTCACCCTAAATCAGCATGCACGAACGCGAGCGGGCGATGGAGTCCAAATCTCTACTTTCGAGCAAATTCATACCTAATATTGAAAATGCTGTCGAGAACACGTACCCCAAACGTGTAGCAATGTGTTTTTGGGACAGCACTGGCTTCCTCCATGGTGTCCTCCAAGGACATCAAATTGTGTTTGATGTTTTACCTCTCATAGTTTTGCCAACAGAGATCTTAGCATGTGGCAGAGAGTCCTTAGTCAACAATTTATTCTCCTCATTGAGTATTCTGCACTGTGCTCTTGCACTTATCATGACAGGATGGGGGAGTTGCAACAGAACTGAACTTTCTCCATTTATAGACTGTCTCACCATGGAATGATGAACATTAAGACTTTTAGAGATACTTTTGTGACCCTTTCAAGCTTCATGTAAATAGATCGTTATTGTAAGATATTCTGAGTGCTCTTTTGGATGAAGTATGGTTCACATCGTGCGATGCATCCTGAAAATTGGTGAATATGTGTGTGTTTTTTTATTTTTTATTTTATGAAGCAGGGCAGCTTTAACCTACATCTCCTATCTCATTACACTGATTGAACTCCAGCTGACAACTGACTCCGATTTGTGCTCCGAGTCTGCACTGTGAATGTTTCATGGGATGTACAGTAAAACAAAAACTTGTAATTGTGTGTTAGTTTAAGCTGTTTGTATTAGTTGTGACTTATATGAAGTAATATATATATATACTTTGTATGTATATTCTCAAAATACTTGAACATGTGAAAAAAAATTGAAATAAAAATATGAATTCAATACAAGTTCCTTTTGGGACATCTGAAGGAAAAATGGGTATATTAAAGGTCATGTTGCAGTAACTATGTGATGTTAATTTTATTTATCACTGGTAAATGCTAGTATTCCTAACTGATACATTTCACTGCAGTTGATTGTGATTTTCTTCTTTCTCCGGCTACTTAATTCCTGACATTTCTTCACCAAATAATAGCTGATTTCCACAATCTATACATCATCGGAAAGCCTTTTTTACTTAAGAAAATGTGTATGTGTAAGTTCTTATACTTGACCCAATT